GGCCCTCTGGCGCGCGCCTGCGCCCGGGCGCAGGCCGTCGAGGACCCGCACCTTAAAACTCTTCGAGTGGCCTGGCGAAGCGCCCCCCCCTCCCACCCACTCCGCCGCCGCCGCCCGACCCGACGCCCGCCGAACCCCCTCCACCCAACCTGCACTGTCGGGCGATGGGCATGAGCCCGCAGCAAGCAGCGCCAGATGGCACCCCCTGTCGCCACCCTGAGTGCTCAGGGCCAGGAACTTCAAGAGCAGCCTCTGCACGCTGCCACGAGCTCTCCGAATGAAGAGAGCCAGCGTGTTTCCGCGGGCGCCACACCGACCTCTGTGCACCCAGCCTAGGGCGCCCCATCTGGCGACGCCCTTCGAGCCCTGCGCATCCACCCCAACGGTTCTGGTTACGCGATGTCGACGATCTTCGTCTCGATAATGCCCCCTTGGCACACGGCGGCCTGGGCGCCGTCCACTAACGCGTCGCGCCTGAGGGGGGGCGCCCCGCAGCCACGGCGAACTCGACGCGAGCCCATCTTCGACTTGCTGACCTCCTCAAGCTGGGGGCTGGCTGAGCCTCTCGCAGCGCCCCCCCGCGCAGCTGGCCACCTCCGCCACGGGCGGTGCCGGCGGGATGCGGCCCATGGAGCCGCAAGGCGGCCTTGTCGATCACCGCGTCGGCGCTGATGCGCGGGCTGGCCCAGGGCCCTGACAGGCCCATTCCTACCGCGACCGCAGGCCGCAGGTCTTCCGGAACCGCCACGTAGTCGATGGCCCTCCCACAACTAGGGCGCGGACCAGGTGTCACCCACGCCCCCCCAGCCTCCTGGGCCACGCTCCAATCTGCCACGAGGACGAAGGGCTTCTCACGCGGCGCACCAGGCTTGCAATCTCGCCCGGCGCAGCGAGGTCGCAGCTCGCAAGGCCCATGCCCACCGCGAACGACCAGACGATAAACAACATATCAACACCCCCTGCAAAACGCACGACCTGCCCCGCTCACTGGGTCAGATCACCTGCATGCCCAGATCGCTGATGCAATCGTTTGCGGCGAATGGTGATGGGCCAACTGGTGAATGCTCTCCCAGCCTGAAACAAGACTCCGCCATGCCCTTGTCTGCCCCCATTGGGCGTTGCTGGGCCCGGCGCGCCCGCCCAACCATGATCCGCGAGTTCCTCGACCGCCTGGGCGAGCTTTTTTGCCCCACAGATGGTGCACAACCAACATCACACATACCAACAGCCTGCCCCCATTTGACTCGCCCCACCTCGACCCCCTTAAAAAATCACATCACTCGGGCCCTTCAAGGCTAGCGGCTAGTGACGCTCGCGAAGTAAAACTCGAAACGCCCAGGCTCACTATCACCCTTGCGACTCTTATCCTTCTTCCACTGCGCTGGGCAATTGTAAAGGGCTGCCACGAACCTCCCGACCCACAGCTCGAAGCAGGCCAACTGATCGGCCCATCGACCTTCAGCGGTTTGGCGTCGCGGGGCCCCTTAATCCCGCTCGGCCGTCAGCATTGCCATCAGCACGCGTGGACCCGCTCCTACCCTTCGCATCCTTTACAACAAGCCCGATGTCAGCGCAAGCACCACCAGCATAACCATCACCCCTGGAAATACTGGGGACGGCCACCCCCACGATGGAAGCACCCTCCTCACCTTACGCACGCGTGCTCGGGATCCCGTCGAACGATCAAGCTGCAGGGCCCCGCGCGGCCGGCCGAGCCCGCCGCGGGTTTCTTCCGCTGTTTGGCCTCAGTCTCCTCCGAGCCCACCCATGTCCACAGCCTTCTCCGTGCAATCGATGCCCACGGCGCCGGAACCAAATTCCCCCTGCCAAAAAAACATCACCCACTTTTCCGTCGCTTGAATCTGAGTCCCCTGAGCTGATCCAAGAAGGCTCGCCCCCCCCCCTTGCACGTCCCCCATACCTGGTCGAATCCGTGGAGGTCCATGCCTTCGCCGTGAAGGTTGGGGACTGGCTGTTCGCTGGCACACCCAGCACCCCCAGCATCAGCATCGCCATGCCCCGTGCGCTTGCGCGGTAGCGTGGCCGCTGCTGCTTTTAGCAGTCCGAGGAACGCGTTCCAGGTCTCCGTCTCGAGCATTGCCTTGACTCCTGGCCCCTGACCCAGCGCTTCTTCTCCACGTATGTCTGCCGACCACTCCTCCATTAAGACCGTGACTGGCATGCTGTTGACGAGCACTCCCTGCGCATTCTCGACGCCCTTTGCCACAGCCAATTGCTGCTCCAGATGGAATTGCGCTGGTCCTCGAGTCGCTTAGTAAGGCTGGCCCTCCTCCTCCTTCTCCTCCTCCTTCGTTCTCATCTTCCTTTCCTCCTATTATTCGTATTATAATGTTAGTATTGATCGCCCTGTTGTCACTATGAGAATTGAGGGCGGAACTCGCCGCCAGAAACTGGCGCCGACTTTTTCGAACGGCCAATCGGCATCGAGTTGACCTGGCAGAACAACTACTCGATATCAAGCATCAATTTGCTTGTTTTCTGCAAGAGACACTCCTCAAAATTTTGCTCGCTGCGCATAGCGCGGGCGGAGTGAAAGCTAGTTTTAATATCACTTGCGCTCTTCGAATACATGGAAATCATCGGACCTACAGATTCGCGCATCGTGGGTCTCTGCGTCTGTGTCAAAATTCGCCAAACGATTCAACGAGGGATAGTGAAACGGGGAGGGCAGAGGAGGACGACGAAGGATGGAAGGACGGACATGAGGACGCCCTGGTGAACGAACTATAAGAGCGAGAGGCAAAGACGCATGGCGTAGCTGGGCGCGCACGGCCCGCCCCGGGCCCCCCCTTGGCACGCCGCGCCCAGGGCGCTGCGCATAGTAAGCAGGAGAGCGATTGAGAGGAAGAGAGGGAGAGAGGAAGAGGGCGATAACGAGGACAACAATCGGAAGAAGTAGGAGCAGATGCGGGCGCGGGAATTTGAATGCTTTCAACGCCCGTTGCAAGAGGTAGCGAACGCAACGTGCGGCCTAGCTGCAGCTCGAGCGAGTCAAGAGTCACCATCCAGCTAATCCGCATTCCTCCTCTTCCTCATCTTCCTCCTCCTCCTCCTTCTCCCTCCTCCTCCGCTTCCTCCTTACATTCCTCCTTCTCCTTCTCCCCCCCCTCTTCCTCCTCCGCCCTCTTCCTCCTCATCCTTATCCTATTCTCTCATACCTGCCCGCCCCCTCTTCCCTCCATCCCTAACGCCATCCCCCTGACTTGCTCTTCTCCCTCTTCCTCTCCTTTTCCCTCTCGTCACCCTTATCCCTTATCCCTCCATCTTCAAATAACTCGCGAGGGGGAAGCTGCGGCCCCTAAACAGATCGGCCTCCTCGAGGCTCACTGCGCGCCCTCGAGGGCTCGAGGGCCCGCGATGCCGCCCGACGCACTAGCGACGGCTCCGCGGGCAAGCAGACGCCGGCAAACCCAGCATTCCCAGAGAGAGAAAAAAAAAAAAAAAAAAAAAAAAAAAAAAAAAAAAAAAAAAAAAAAAAAAAAAAAGCGCCGCCTGAGGAAGCAGACGCTGGCAAACCCAGCATTCCCAGAAAAGAGCACGCCGTCGGAAGAAGAGGTCATGGGGTTATGGGGGCGTTGGATATTCTCTTTATCACACGTATTCGAGACGGGGCGTGGGGATCGATGAGGATTTGAGCTTAGGTGCGCAAATGCTTGGCATTCGGGTTGGTTGAGGCGGCGGCCGAGACCTTCGCCCGGGCCTTCGCCTTCGCCGTGCCCTTGGGCTTTTAGCCGCGACCATGTGCTCAATCGCACTCGGCCGACTCAATGCCAGCTTAGCGGCGGCGCCCGGACTCTTAAACTCAGGACTGAGACGGAGCGACGCGACACCCACTTCCACCGCGCGCGATGCTTTCCCGATTTTGTATTCGACGCTGGTTTTATGCACACACTCAATCAGACACTCGTCGCCCCCCTTTTCCTTGATGGCCCAGGCGGGAATGAAATAGTCACAAGTATTCGAATCAAACCTTACGCCGCTCCGTTCAGGAATCGCACCCCGCAGCCGGCCTAAAATGCGGGGCGCCCCTCCTCCTCCTCCTCCTCCTCCACCCCCCCCTCTTCCCCCTCCCCATCTTTATGTTCCTCTGCTTCCCCCCCCTGCCCCCCGTCCTCTTTCCCTTCTTGGCTTGCGCGGCCATTCCTTCCACGGGCCCAGCGAGGCCCAAGGACATGGCCCCAGGGGCCAAGGACCAGGGGCCCAGGGCCCAGGGAAACAAGCAGTTGCGATTCAAGATCGTCGGCTCAAAACTGTTAGAGGTCACGGAACCCGCGGCCGTTCACGTAGAAGTCCACGCCCCAGAACTTGGCGACCCAGACGCTGCCGACCGCGGGCGCCATGCTGACGTTGCCGACGTAGTTGAGGCACGCGTTCTTGACGGGCGTCTTGAGCCAGATCTCCTTGCCAGCACCCGTCTCATCCATGTAGATCTTGTCCAGCGGCGCATCGGGAGACACCCCTCACAATCGCATCTGGTTCGAGAGCTGGGTGATCGCCCAGATGCGCGACCCCAGGAACTTCGCAAAGTGGCACAGCCTGCACAAAGGCCCCTCCCAGTCGGGGATGGCGCGGGCCCTCGCTGACGAGATAGCTACCACGTGGTCCTGCGGGTGCTTGTCATCTGGCGCGTTCGTCGTCAAGTCCATCGTGGAAGCCCTGGGCGGCGGGGTAGCAGCAACGGACGGGAGCGACTCGGGCACCTGGGACTCGGCAGTCGACTCGACAGCCACGGAGTCCACGGAGTCCTGCACCTCAGTTGCCTTGAGACCGTTCGCGGCCACGCCCATGAGAACTCCACAGATCGGATCCAGGAACCCTTTGGACAACAGAGATGCGCAGAGAGTCTGACCAACTTCATCATGCTGGCTGACGGCAGCCACTGATGCGATAACGCCCATAATCGCTGCCCATCCAGACTCTTAGTGAGGTCGCTTCAAGCACATATCGACGACACCCAGAGCACCTGATGCCAGAACCACCCTGAGCTTGGAGACGTACTCGGCGGCATCCAACTCGGTATAGCGCCTCACCCCTGCGCCGTTAAATCTGATCACTTCGGCGATGTAAAGGCTCATCTGGTTAACCATATTCACCACCAGGTCGCGGTGCTCAGCTCCGTCGTCGTCGATGGCGATGTTCAACTGATCGCGCAACTTTGTCGCAGCCACCTTCGACTCGGCGCTGGCCGAGTCCGCGCTCTCTCGGTGCAGCTTTGCCAAAATAGCCATGTACACATTCGCGGGCCCATGGTGCATGTCGATGAACTTGTTGGCTGCAATGCTGGCGAGCTGGCCGGGTGATATCTTCTTCGCATCCGCTGGCCTACCAAGCTGGCTGGCCACGCCGACGTTGGCCATCAAAAGCGCCTGCTGCTTCTCCGCACAAGACATAATGTCTTCGGTGGCCCGCGGGAACGTGCCCTTGCAGCAATTCTTCGACTCATAGAGGTCGAAGATCCAGCGTTGGCACTGCTGCGCCTCCTTCGCGAAGTCCGCGAGGAGCTCCGACCGCGACTTCACTGGCTCCGCGGGCGCGGCGCCGACGGACTCGACTGCCGCAGTCTCGTTGACCGACTTGGCCCGATTGGATTCACAGAGGCTCAGGACGTCATCCACCTCCGTCGGGTCGGCGCCAGTGTTCTTGTCATCTGTAGGGAACCGCACTGCAGCGATATCTGCAAGGTGAGCCTCTACGATATTCGCGCGCAAAGCCTTCCGCATGTCGGAGTATGCATTGAACACCTCGCCGTCGAAGTCCGTGCTCTTGTAGAACACGAACTTAAAGCAAGCTGCAACGGCCTTCCGCACCAGTTCCATGTCGATCTTGCTCTTGGAAACCTAGTCGAGGGACCCGAACGCAAGCCAGGCCATGTCGTCGAAGATGACGAGAGGCCGCGTGGCGCCGTCGGCGCCACCCCTTACCCTGACGGACTCCTCCTTCGTTGCGCTCACGATTGCCCGGGCCATCTTCTGATGGTTGACGCGACGGCGCTTGCTGGGCGGCCCATCGCCCCCCCCCCCCCCCTCTCGCGCAGCGGCCTGGCGGCGGCGGCAGCCGCCAGCTGGCGCCTCAGAACGACGGTGCCTGACACAGGCTCGTCGAGAAGCTCGACCAGGTCTGAGCGATGCTTCGCGAACGCAAACTGGTCGCCCACGCCGAAGCGGCCGTCGCTGAGGCACGGCACCGCGAAACCAAGGCCGATCAAGAGGAACTCTTTCAGCACGAAGATCGAGTGAGCATCCTGATCGGGATCTCAATGCGACGGTTTGCGTTGAGCGTCCCCTAAAAAAAAACTCAGCCTCATTTTCTCGCCCCTCAGCTCCTCGACCCTCCTCTCCATTTCCCCCCCATTCCTCTCCTTCCTCCTTCCTCCTCCTCCTCCCCTCCCCCCCCCCATCCCCCCCCCCCCCCCCCCTCTCCCCCCCCCCTCTCTCCTCGTATCCTCCGTCATCTTCCCTCCTCCTACACACCCTTCCCCCAGGGCCCTCGCACGCCAGCACCTCGCGGACAACGTCGGCCACGTTCGCAAGGACGACCTCGAGAGCGGCAGCATTTGCAAGGTAATTGGCAACAGGACTCATCATCTCTTTGAAGTCCGCGCAAGCGTTCAGGGCGCACAGCGTCTTGCACACCAGATCAGCATCAGAATACATTTGGAACCTCGGGTAGACCTCCTTAAAGTTCGCGATCACGAACTCCTCGCGGAGGCGCGCGAACGTGCAAGGGCCCTTCGTCGGGCAAGAGGTGGACTTGATCTGCTTGACCTCGCGGCACCTCGGACGTTGCAAACAAAAACCCCCTTTCCTTCCCTCCTCCTCCCCCCCCCCTCTGTCTTCTCCCCCCCCTCCTCGCCTCCCTGTCTCCTCCTCCTCCCCCTCTCCTCCCCCTGCCCCCCATCCTCCTACCCTCCTCCCCCTCCCCCCCAGCGGCTGCCAGTGGCTCGATCTAACGGATGACCCCTGCATGCCCTACAAAGGCATACCCCCGAGCCCTACCCAGGAATCGAAACGGGGGGGGGGATGTCGGCTAGATTCTCGTCGTCTGGCTCCGGAGTACGCATCCCATCCCGGTTTTACTTCTGGCGATTCCTCCAGGGCCTCGAACACCCCGGCGTCGCCACCGTCGTGGAAGTCGTTGCCCCTGTTCTTCCTGTAGCGGGGCACGTCGCTGAGCGCGCGCACGAACAAGATGGCGACGTCCGACAAGCCCTCCTTCATTAATCGAACGACGTTGCCATTCTTCTCGTCCATGACCCTGGCCAACTTCATCGACGCGGTGATGGTGCCCCCACTGATCATAGAGTAGCCCCCTTCGAGATCGGGATCGGCCCTTGCCTGAAGCTTCCCGCGGAGTTCTCCATAATACCCCTCTGCCAGGAATCGCAGTGCATATTGTTTCGTGGTGCTGGCAACTGACCTCATGTTCATGGCGTCGCGCTCCACCATCTCCCGGCCCGTCTCTTGGTTCCACGCGAAGACGCGCCGCCTCTGCTCCTCAACATACACACGGTTGGTGACGTCCCACAGAAGATCCTTCTGAAACCAAAGCTCGTGCTCCTCCTCCTCATCCTACCTCCTCCTCCGCCTCCTCCTCCCCCCCCTCCTCCTCCTCCTCCCCCCCCCCCCCCCCCCCCCCATCCTCCTCCTCCTCCTTCTAGGTCCTACCCATCAATCATCATTGCCGCCTCTTCCTCCTCCTCCTCTCCTCCTCCCCCTCCTCCTCCTTCTCCTCCTCCTCCTCGTCCTCCTCCTCCTCCTTCCTTCTCCTCCTCCCTCATGCTCCCCCCTCTCCTCCCTCCCCCCCGCCTCCTCCTGACTCCTACACTTACTAGGCCCCAGGCTCCTTGCAGGCCAGGGTAACGGATGGCGATGTTGAGGCCCTCGGCGAGGGGCGCCCATTTCTGCCCCTCGGTGATCACAGCCAGGACCGAGGCGACGTCCTGGGGGAAGGCTTCCGGGGGGCGACGGGGGGGGGGGGGGGCGCAGGAGGAGGGGGATGCTTGCCCAAGAAAGCGAATCGTTAACCACCCCCTTTTGGAACGGCGCATTTGGCTGGGGGCAACGCTTCGGCAACGGACGGGGCAACAAAAATCACAGTCGAGAACGGAGGAGGAGAAGGAGGAGGAGGAGGAGGAGGAGGAGGAGGAGGGGAGGAGAGGAGGGGCACGAGGGAGGAGGAGGAGGAGGGGCACGAGGGAGGAGGAGGAGGAGAGGAGGAGGAGGAGGAGGTCAGGGAGGAACAGGAGGAGGAGGAGGAGGAGGGATGGAGGAAGGAAAACCCAAGTCCTTGCAGCCAACAAGACTAGGCCAGTACTTCTAGCCGTCGTTGGTGGCGAGACCAGCAGCGCCAGTTGCCATCGGCGCAGAGAGGCTAGTCAAGAATTATAAAGCAGACCTGTCTGGGCGGGATGCCTCGAGGCAAACTTTGGAGCTGTGTGGCCGCGTGCTTTGAGCACGAGCTGCTTCGGCGCAAGGGCGGGGGAGGTTCTCGCAGTGGCTCTGCCCCTGGAGAATTCCGCGTCGCCACGGCAGGACTCACGCCCGACACCCCGAGCTGTGATTCGCATACGACTGGCGCCATTGGTTTCGAACCAGACGAGATTATGGTGAGAACGCGCCCACGGGGCCCAAGGAGAGGTTTTGGGCCAAGCAACATAGGAGAGAAGGGGGGGGGCGACGGGGGTGTAAATGCCAAGCTGCACGTGCAAGGGGCAGGTCCAACTTAGACCCCCCGAGCGAAATGATGAGCCCATTGTAGCAGCAGTAGGCATGACCGAACTTGCCCAGTTAGGCATTCATGGAAGTAGACAAGCCGAGGGATATGCCCTATCCATCCCTAACCTAAGCAAGGCCACAGCACGGAGAATATGGCTGAGAACGCACAAATGAGGAGGAGAAGGAAGAGGGGGAGGAGCAGGAGCAGAAGCAGCAGAAGGAGGCAGGAGGAGGCGAGGGGAGAGAGCCGGATATAT